GGCAGACACCCCGTATATCGCTCTGATGCGCGTGTGCCGTCCACGTTATGGCAGCATATGATATAAAGGGAAACTGGTTCTCCATGTCTTCGCCATTGATGCTCTTTGACTGGCCGATTTCTTCCATCAACAAGTAGCGTATGCATGTCCGGGACAGCGAGAAATGAGCTCTTCCGATCGCTTCGTCGACTGTTTCCGGGCTGCTATCCAGGACAAGGAGGCCTTTGTCGACGAAGAAATCTTTGACGGACTGATGGATGAACTGCACAACTGATGTTTGGGAGGACGAGGTTACGGTCTCGGCCAGCCCGCAGCTTAGAGCTACGATCCGCCTTTGCATATCATCGTCGGTCCCGTAGTCCTCTTTGCTTCCACACTCTTGCAAGGACTTGTGCGGGCAATCGGTGTCGATGGCCAGGGCCCAATAGATCTCCTCTAGCGATAATGGCCTTACGGCAAAGCAAAGCCATTGGATGAGTCTCAGAGAAGCTGCCTTGTCCTCCATCCTCTGGATATGATCCAGGTACAGACTGTTCATATCGGGAGGAATAGAGCAAATCTCATCCCGGATCCTCCCCCAGCGCGCTCGCTGCCGCTCGAGGCGAAGAACGCGCTCCAACACGAGCCGCGCCCACATGAAGACACCTGATGCTCGAGAAGTGATCAATTCCGCAATGGAAGGTGCCTCGCGGACAAAAGTCTCTGAGAGCCTCTGCCGCACGTAAGCGGCAACATCATCTCCGTTCTCATCTTCGACGCATATGTTCATGACGCCGTCTAGGTCCGGAGGGATGGGGTAGTGGCGACAACTGAAGCATATGTGAATGCCCTGAGCGGTAGTGGACGAGACGCTGTCCAGCAAAGACTTGAACTTTATCGCCAGTTGCACCGCGTCCTCCTCGCCACACTCGTCCAACGCGTCGACAAATAGCCAGATTGGACGAGTCTCGAGAATCTTCGGGGCTGAAGCTTTGAGGAAATGCCACAGCTCTTCTGGATGCCACTGCCACGCTTCCGGCGGAGCGCCATGATCCCTGCACTTTTCCTGGTAGCCATCGACGAGATCAGACAGTGCTCCAGGAATCTGTTTGAGAATCTGGTGAAGAAGAGATCGGAATAACCCCAGAGGCGTCCTCTGAAGGGTGTCACCACGGCCGTGGAAGAAGAAGCAAAGCACGAGGTCACTGTCCGTGGCCCCGGGCATGTCTCGCTGCTTGCTCAAGGCATGCTTTAAGAGCGTGGACTTGCCCGCGCCTGGCTTGCCCTTGATCCAGAGTAGACCGTGGTGAGAT